CATGTTTCACCTGTGCGATCTTTTCACCCCTGTCTGAAGAGCCACAGACAGACATCAGCCTGCCACGTAAAAGGCTGTCACGGGCCAAGGAGATCAGGGAGAGAAAGGCGATCCTGAGGGGGAACCGCCAGAACGCTGAGATGGAAAGAGCAGCGCGGCTCCAGACGGGTCAGTGCCCCACCACCCCCTCCCTGCCCTGGCTGCCCCAGTGCCCAGCTGTGCCTCTGCAGCCTTCCTGTCTCCCTGCAGTGCTCATTCCCCTCGATGAGGTGAGGGCAGAGTGGGAGAGGACCAGCGGCCCGTTCCACAAGCAGCGCGTGGCCGAGCACTGCGGGGTGTTCAGGGACCTGTTCAAGGGGGCCACCTTCACCCCATGGGTGGCCCTGAGGGTGCACTACAGCCAAGAGGATGAGGACCTTGTGCCAGTCTACTATGGGAACATGGTGACTCCGTCAGAGGTGCGTGAGGGGAACTCTGAACAGCCTGGACCCCGTGGGAAGCCTGTTCCTGTCTGTCTGTTTCTGTCAGATGCTTCCAGTGTTCCTTTTACTGGAGCATTTCCTCTGTGCTGAAGGAAATGTATTTGATGGACCTGATAAGGACAGATATTTGCAGCAGGATGGTTGTCTGTTAGCAGACTCTGGGGGCAATCCAGGTGGAGCTGGATTCCAGTGGCCTGGCTGTGCCCAGTCTTTGTTGTGTTCCAGCCTTGCCTGTGACAAATTCATGAAACCTGTTGTGTGAGTGATTTACCTTCTCTTTATGTTGCTCTTTTAGGCTTCCAGTCCCCCTGCAGTGTCATACGAGGCAGATAAAGGCTCCCTCTGGACTTTGTTGCTCACAAATCCAGGTAAGCAGAGAGTTCTTCAAAAAAACACATTTAAACTGGGTTGTTTCACTCTGCTTTTGGTTAACTCCTGTTTCTTTTGGCTGCATAGCCAAAGGTGATGTGACATCTGCTAGGTAGGGACATGTGTAATGTGTAGGAAAGACTGTAGCCTCCCCAGATCTGTAGCAGTTAAGAGAGAGAGAACAGTGACACAACAGGACCTGTGTCACACCAACAATTCCCTGACTCCCATCCCGAAACTCCTCTCCCTTGTCAGTATGCCTGGAAGGCAGGTTTGCTGACACTGTTCACCCTGAGAAACCAAGGCACAGTGAAGGGAAGCAGCTGACCAAGAAGATTCCAAGAATCTCGGAATTAGATCTGCAGAGTTCTTTGCTCCTCATTTTAAACTCAATCCTATAGGAATGAGCTCCTTTTGTGATAGGAAAGGAATGCTGGGAGGTCTCGAGGTGCTCCCTCTGATCAAAGCAGGTCTGAGCATTCTCACTTTGGGGTCGATGCAAACACCAGGGGGTCCCTAAGTCACCTTTCTCTGTTGTGTGTTGGCAGATGGACATCTGAGGGATGCAGACTCAGAGTACCTGCACTGGCTGGTGTGAGTACAACAGAGCCACGTGCCCTGTGCTCAGGGCATGGGCAGGAACTCCCCCAACAGCTCAGGAATCCGTGGCTTTCCCTGGTGCCCCTGCCATGAGCTCCTGTAGCCCCCTGTTCTGGGTCCTGCTGAAGAGGCAGGAGTTCCAGGTGTTGCTGCTGTTTGACATTCCAATCACTGGATAGGATTTTTCCTCCAATGAAAGCAGCCTCTGCTATCTGTTCCCTTATCAAATGGGGCAGAAGTCACCTCAAAACGTGGCAGAGTGATTTGCAACCCTGGGTGAATCTGCTGGAGGGAAACGAGTGGGTACACAGCAAAGTAAATGTCTTTGTGTTCAGAACCAACATCCCAGGCAATGACATCAAGTCAGGAAAGGAGATCTGCCACTACCTGCCCCCCTTCCCTGCCAAGGGGACTGGCTACCATCGCTTCATCTTCCTTCTCTTCAAGCAAGACCATCCCATCAATTTCCGCGAGGACACTCGGCCGATGCCGTGGTAATTCTGCTGTTACTGCTTGTTGTGTTCACCTGCCTGTCACTGCGGTAGGAGGGCAGTTCCTGTCATTCCACGGGGTTCTCCAGGGCTGCTTGGGGTTTGTGTGTCCCCTGCAGCCACAATCCCAGCCCTGCAGAGTCCTGTTGCTATGGAACTGGACTGGGGCAGAAATGTGCACAGAGCTGGAGACACTGGGAGATTTCCTTTTGCTGGCTCCGTTTTCCCTCTGTTTCATAGGCTCTGGGGTGATGTGGAGCAGTTGCCTTCCCAGGGTGCTGCTGCAGGAAGAGGTTCACCTCAGCCCTTGTGCTTGTGTCTTGTTTCCAGCTACAGCCTCAAGATGAGAACCTTCAGCACGTTTGACTTCTACAGAAAGCATGAGGACGCCATGACCCCGGCAGGGCTGGCCTTCTTCCAGTGCCGGTGGGACAGCTCCGTCACTTCCATCTTCCATCAGCTGCTCAGTAAGGAATGAATGCAGTGTGGGGATGCTGGAGGGGGTGAGTGGTACATGATCCCGTGTGGCTGCAGGCTCTCGCTCAGTCCTGGGATGTGTCTGGGATCGGCATGGACTGGATCCTCCCTGAGCCACCCTCCTCCAAACGGCAATCTGAGGGAACAACCTCTGAAAGGCTGCTTGGAATGAGCAGCCCTGTTCCCATGGGGGTGGAAGGGGGCCTGAGTTGGGATCTGAGTCCTCGTGCTGAGGTTGTGGGTCCCTCCTTTGCAGACATGAGGGAGCCGATATTCGAGTTCGTGCGCCCGCCCGTGTACCACCCTCGCCAGAGGAAGTTCCCGCGCCAGCAGCCCCTGAGGTACCTGGACAGGTACCGGGACACGGAGGAGCCCACCTACGGCATTTACTAGGAGCTGGCCCCCTCCCAGCGCTCTGGGTCCACTGGGATGCTGCCTCCCAGCTTTCCTGCACTCCCTCAGTGCCTCTGGAGGGAGGTGACAAAGTCTCAGCCCCTCAGCTCCCAGATCCCCTGGGAAAGGCAGCCAAGGGCAGCAGGTGCTCACAGTGCTGGAGCTGCATGGTCAAGAAGCTGCTTAACGAGGACATTCGAAGTGAATCCAGGCTGAAATCTTGCTCCTGATTCTGCAGCAGAGCTGATCAGTGGCTGGCAGGGTAGAGTCCCCCCAGAGATGCCCTGCCTTGCTTCTCTGCACAGATCACAGTTCTCCTTTTGCCTGTTTAGGGAACAGAGCCAGGCCAGCCTGGATTTCCTCCTCTTAACAGCACTGCAATTCAGGGCTGTGTCAGCCTTTATTTGTGCAGTCCCCTTGGAGAGGTGAGCCTGATTAAACACACTCTGAGAAGTGCTGGCAGAGCTGTCTTTATTGGGAAGAGCCTGTTATCCCAGCCAGCTGGCACAGGGCTGGGGAGCTCAGTGGGGTGCAGGGGAGAAGGGCAGCCCTTCGCCTGACTGGGACCACTTTCCCTCTTGGATGTTGTAGGTTGGGAAGTGTTTGGCTACACAGGTGGTAAACCTGCACAAGGTCAGTGTTTGTGGATCTGGCTTCAGCTGCCCAAGCACACGGACCTCAGTGTCCTTCCCCTCACTCCCTGGACAGGATGTACCTGGTGTGGACAGGTGGAGCACAAGCACAGCTGCTGGGGTTGGGGCAGACCTGTGGTGGTGTCCTGGCACTGCTGCTGCTGGTCCTGTTCCAAGGCTGTGGAGTTCCTCTGCTTTCTGCTGTGCTCTCCAGTGCTCTCCCTGTTCACATGTTTAATCCCCAAAATACCAACATGCTCCTGCTGTTGAAGCTGCCTGTTCCCAGCTCTGCTTCCCAGTGACTTTCTCTGCAGGTCCCCCTTTCCTCAGGAAATGAGAGCCTCCAGCAAACACCTGAGACTGGGCTGAAGTGTCCCCTTACTGCTGGTACTCCAGGTTGTTACAGCTTCCCTGGAGCTCCCTGAACTCCCCTCCCACCCTGAAGGGTTCTGGGGTCTGGTTTAAGCCGGGGGGAGGGTGTTGGATGGGTGCCCACAGGTTGTGTTATGCCCTTCTCTGAGCTTTGAACATTTGGTCAGAATTTGTAGATCCAGCCCAAAGAAATGTCTTGGGGACTGAAGCTCTGCTGGAATGTGCAGGGAGTTGTGGCAGGTCCCAGGGGTGGTCTGGGGGGTGGCTCTGAGCCTACCTGTGGTACAGAAGCTGCTCCAACAATCTGAGAGCCAGCTGGTGAGCACCCTGGCTGCACCACAGACTGGCTCCCTGCTTCCCCTCACCTGTGCAGGTGAAAGTGAAGCTGTTCATGAGGGGAGGCTGCAGAGCTGCTGCCAACTGAGGCCATCCTGCAGTGTCAGCAGCCTGGGAGTGTGTGCAAGTAGCACAGCAGTGGGTACAGAGATAAGGGTTGGGTGGGGATTTTGGGTGGTTCTCCTCCTGAAACTGAACTGTGTGACAAGGTGAAGGTGTGCAGTGCACAAACACTCACACAGAAGGCTCCACCTGCCCCCTGAGCAGGGACTGGTGGCCCAGGTGACATCTTTGTTGTGTTTCAGGGTGCTGATGCACACGGGTGTTGCAAGGAAGTTCGTAGGAAAAGGTGTGGTGGGTGTGCACGGGGACACGCGCAAACAGCAGGAGCTGGAGTTCAAAATGGAACGGTGCAAGGGTGGAATGTGGCCCTGGCTGGTGCTGGTGTGTGTCACAGTCGTGTCTCTGCAGAGGGAGGTGACACGTGGCTGCAGCAGCGGTGGGTGCCTCTCTGCTGGTTCTTGCTGTACCGAGGTCTCTGTGCCAGGGGCAGCTGCCAAGCTCTGCTCGGGGATCCAGCCCTGGCAGAGATGAAGATGCCTGGGAGTTCCCTGAAAGGGCAATAAAGGAATGAAATCCAATTGCACATCGATATGTACCTGTGTAAGCACATTCACGGAGGTACACATTGCTCTGATCCCTGTCAGCCTCCTGCGTGTGTCCCTGTGCTGCCACTGCAGCATTCCATCCTCTCCAGAGCCTCCTGCTCTGCTTCACAGCCCTCCCTCTCCCCGAGGGGAGCAGCTCCAACCCTCCCTGTCACCTCGTCTCCCCAGCGTGTGGCACACCCAGCGTGGCCAGCGGGCACCCACTGGGTGTCTCTTTAAGAGCACGTCCGGCTGGGAGCCCTGACCCGCCTCTGGGCACAGCGTCACCATCTCCTCCTCCCCTGCACAGCTGAGTTTCTATTTCCCCGGCTCCTCGCCCCGATCCCCGGCACAGGCAGGATGGCATCCCTCATCTCGCAGAAGCTGGAGTGCCCCATCTGCCTGGACCTGTTCAGGGTGCCCGTGACTTTGCCCTGCGGCCACAACTTCTGCAAGCGCTGCATCAGCGACCACTGGCACAAGCGAGAGCGGGCGCCCGCCGGGGCCGAGACGGGCTATACATGCCCTCAGTGCCGCAGGGACTTCGAGCAGTGCCCGGAGCTGGAGAAGAACGTCACCCTGTACAACGTGGTGGAGCTGGCGAGGGACGGGGACGCGCGGGGCGCGGGCACGGGGAGGTGCGAGGTGGCCCCGGGCGAGCTGTGCCCGCAGCACGGGCGCCCGCTGGAGCTGTACTGCGAGGACGAGCGGCGCTGTATCTGCTGCGTCTGCATCGTCCGGCAGTGCCAGGGCCACCGGCTGGTGCTCTTCGAGAAGGAACGGTCCAAAAAGCAGGTGGGGACGATGGGCGGCAGGGATGGGGTGATGGGAGAGCGAGCAAGGGGAGTCACAGCAGCTCGGGCATTCACTGCCCCACGCCCTGCTGGGGGGATGTGATGTGCCTCCGGGTGCCAGGCTGTGCTCGGCCTCAGCTGAACAGGAGGTTGGCCAGGAAGTGCCACCAGTGCCCTGTTGCTCCCTGAGAAACCAGGTGCTGTCAGGAGCAGCAGCAAGCTGGGTAAATCCAGCAGCGCTGGATGAACGGTGATATATGTGTTTATGATCCTCTGATCTAGAGAAAATAGATAAAAAAGAGGTGAAAGACAGCACAGAAAATCACTTCTTGGTGACCCTGATGCAGTGTCCCCTTCCCAAGGCTTCTCCCTCCCCATTAGCCTTGTCCTGCAGCCCTGAGAGGGCTCCTGGGGGCCAGGTGGGCAGCAGTGCTGCACTGCAGGATGTGCAACTGGACACAACTGGAAGAAAGGACTGGACGTGGCACTTAGTGCTGTGGATTAGTTGGTGGTGTTCGGCCAAAGGTTGGACTTGATAACCTTGGGGGTCTTTTGATTCTGTGTTGGTGCCTCTCTTCACAGATCATTTTGAAAGAGTCCCTGGAAAAAGCCCAGGAGGAATCGGAGGGGATCGAGCGGGCGATGCGGGAGCTGGAGGAGCAAACGCGCAGCATCAAGGTAGTGCTGTGGCCACCTCTGTGCTGGGCACGTGGGTGGGAGCACACTGGATCTCATGGCTCTTCCCTACCCAGGACTCCTCCGAGGAGCTCAAATCTCAGATCCAGAGCAAATTCGCCCACCTGAAGGAAGCTCTGGAGGATTTCCAGCGTCAGTCGGTGGCCAGGATCGAGCAACAGCAGGTGGTGGCACTGGGGCGCGTGGAGGAGAACTGGAGCCTCCTGAAGGACAGGCTGGATGTCCTTGGCCAGCACAGGGAGAGGGCTCAGAGCCTGCTGGCCTGCCCTGACCACAGGACCTTCCTCCAGGTACCATCCTGATGCTGTGTCCATCCCTGTGCCTGGGCACTGCCAGACCTGCACCCTTTCAGTGAGGGCAGAGGTGTGTTCAGCCCCTTTCCCAGGGGGAACACATCCTCAGCCCAGCTCAGGGATGTGATGGAGCTGTGGGGAAGAGCTGTTCTGGTGGGACTTGTGTGGGCAGTGCTGTGATCCCACTGTCACCCACTGGGGAGTCACAGTGTGTGCACATGGATCTGCACAGTCCTCCCCAGGCTAGTGCATGGCTGTCTGTGTGTCTGTCCGCAGGAGTTCCCCCTTCTCCCACCTCTGGAGAGCCCGGAGGCGCTGGTCCCCGTGGAGTTTGATGTGGCTCATGTGATCAAGCCCATCTCTGACATCCTCACCAGCATCTCCAGGCTCCTGCTGGAGGACCTGCCTGGCTCTGTGGCCCCCAAAGCCCCCAGTCCTGCTGGCCAAGGTAATCCTCTGCTCTCAGAGCCACTGAGTCATCTTGAATCCCAGCCTGGCCCACATCATGGTGCCAGGGACACGGCTACCAGGCTCAGGGGGTTGGGATGGGGACACATCTACTGTTCAGCAGATGGGGTGGGATGAACTGGGTGGCTTCCCCGTGGCCTCTCCTTGCTGGGAATGCTGAACCAAGTGGGCACATGCCTGCTCCCAGGCTTGGATATGATGGACTTCCTCTTTCTCCTCCCCATTCCATGAAGCCAGGAAGAAACAAGTTTTTTGGGTGGCATCACTCAAAATGCCTGTTCCCATCCTCCACAGGCCCAGTGCATCCCCAGGAGCCGGCGGTGAAGGTCATGACTCCTCTCCCCAAGTGCCAGCTCCGAGCTGAGCTTCTGAAGGGTGAGGAGCACAGGAGGGCCTGGAGGGACAGGGGGACCCAGCTGGGGTCCCCAGCAGGCAGAGATGTCACCAAGCTGGGCTCCTCCCTGGGAGAAGGATGGTTGTGGCTGTGGGGACAGGGGTTCCTTCCATGGTTCTGCCAATCTCTCTCCCTAAATGTGGGACAGGGTGGATGGGCTGGGCGACATTGTGTGTGTGTGAAAGGGCCCATTAAGGGGAGCACCAGGGAGTGCTTTCCCGTGGAAACTGGAGCTGCCTGGTATTGGATCAGTCACTGCCCTGCATGGCCCTAGTCCAGTGCCCTACCTGCAGTCATTGCTCTCTATCCAGGGATATGGCCTCAGCATTCCCTGTCACAGTCCTTCATGTCCCCTTCCCTTCCCGGGCCCATCCTGCTCCAGTTCCTTAGGGATTTCCTCACTGATCCTTTTCCCATCTCCTCCCTGTTGGGAAGAGGGTTGGGCAAAGTTTAGGGAATGTTGGTAATGTCACTCTTGCCAGCGAGGCAATCACTGCCTATGGGACCTTTAATTCCTTTTATTGGTCCCGCAAAAAACGTTCTTAGGGTTATTAATAGGAAAAACCCTATTATTTATGGGCAGAAGGCAGGAGCTCAGTGAGGGTCAGGTTGTTGTGGGAGGAAGGTGATGTGCTGGTGACCAGTGAATGCCCATGGCAGGAGTTACAACAGCCTATGCACAGGAGAGTAACTCCCTGCAATACTATATTTATTTCCCTGGTTTTCACCCCCCTTTGCCACCCACACTCGTATTTTTTGCTCATAAAACCAAGATCTCTTCCAAAATGGCCATGGAGCCACCGGTACTTGCTGGCTGTGAGCTGGGCTGTGCAAGGACTGTGTGAAGCATCATATCTCAGTGCCTTGCCAGCTGTCTCTGGGCTGCTTCTCTCCCTTCCAGGGCAGGTATCTCATCTCACCCCGCTCACCTTCCCCTCCAAGCAAACTTGTTCCCTTCTGTTTCGGGAGCCAGCCCTACACTGTTTAAACCCCATCACTGCTGGGGGGGGCTGTCACACAAGGGACATAAAGATCTGATGAAGCTTTTCAGCCCCACCCATGCTGTTGCTCTTCCCAGACCACCGCAACCTGACCTTCGATCCCAAGACGGCCAACAAGTACCTGGAGCTGTCGAGAGGTGCCCGGAAAGCCAAGCACATCCCCTGTGCCTTGTGCAGGGGGCAGGGGCCCCACTTCGAGCCCTGGCAGGTGCTGTGCACGCAGGGCTACGGCCCCGGACATCACTACTGGGAGGTGGAGATCTCCAGCCACTCCGTCATCTTGGGGGTGACCTACTGGGGCCTCCCCTGGGAGCAGCAGCAGGGCCACAAGTTCAACATCGGGCTGGACGGGGGCTCGTGGGGGCTGCAGGTGCGGGAGGATTGTTACCTGGCCTGGCACAAGGGCCAGGCAGAGAAAATCCAGGAGCAGCTGTACAAGAAACTGGGGGTCAGCCTGGATTATGGCAAGGGGCTCCTCTCCTTCTACGGCCTCGGGGAGAGGATGCAGCTCATCCACTCCTTCCACGATGTCTTCACGGAGCCCCTGTACCCCGTGTTTTGGCTGTGTGAGGGCCGAGTGGTGACGCTGTGCCGGAGGGACTGAGCTGGAGCCACCACACTGATCCATCAGCCAACCTGCAGCCAGGACCTGTCACAGTGCAGGAGGGACCTCGATGCCGAGGCAGGCATGTGGTGCAATATTTTAACAAGAGCTGATGAGGACAGACATGAAAATTAACCTGTTTAATTTGCACGTGCAAATATCACGCTGCTGACGCAGGGAAGGGGAAGGAGGCAGGGCTGGAGCTCACCGTGGGGGTGAAGCCCTTGGTCACTGTATGTGGGGGGACAGTCCCTGGTCACTGTGTGTGGGGGCACATGTGGGTGCCTGTCCCTGCAGATGGAGCGAGGGAGGGGGAAACAGGGAGTGAAAGAATTAAGTTTTCCTCTTTCTCCTATCCCTGCCAAACCTCCCAAGCCTGGAGAATATTTGGGGTGAGGGAGAGCGTAGAAAGGGTGCTGCTGCCACAGGGTGCTGCGGAGCAATGCAGAGGGAGCCCTGTGCTCCCCCAGCCTCACATGCAGGCAGGTCCTGCCCCCCAACCCCTCCCAGTCCCCTCTTGCCACTCTTGGACATGGCAGAGGAACTGTTCATGATTCTACGTTGCAGTTCTTTGTACAATGCTGCTTTTCCCAATAAAGCTCTATTTCCCTACAGGTTTGACCTTGGTGCTGGTGGGAGATACAGGACCAAGCAGCATAGGGGGAAGGGGAGGGAAGCTGGGTGCCCCTGTTCCTGCACCCATCCCTGCAGGGCCCCACCCTGCCCCTCCATGTCCTCGAGGGGTTGGTGACCAGCCCCTTGGAGGGACCAGCTGGCGGAAGAACCAAAAGGTCCTTTATTTACCGCAGCACTGTGATAAGGAAACCTGGTTTCCTATGGCTCTGCCCCAAGGCTGATCTGGCACAGAAGAAAATTCTGAAGTTTTGATTGAAGCTTTTCCAAGGGCGAGACCACAGGTCCGGCGCCTCCTCCCGCTCCCGCAGGAATGCTGGTGAGGGATAACGGGGTGAAACTGGGCACTGGGATCAAAGGTGCTGGGGACGTGCAGGTGAATGCATGGGGAATGAATAACATCATTGTTTCCTTTGGGGACAAAAGGCTTAAAAGGATCAAGCCCCTTCTGCAAGAACAGATGTGATTTTTCTTGCCATGTTTCCTCCTTCACTCCACACCTCCCCACCCTCCCAGCCCTGTCCTTGGGCCAGTGTGGACCTGGGAACTTATCCAAGTCAAAAAATGATCTGCACAGGAGGGGTCTGGAGACACCATACTTATGAGGCAGATCCTCACACTCAAAGCACTTTGGTGTCTCCCCATCTCTGCTTGGTGTCTTGTGGGCCCTGGAGGAAGAGGGGACAGGGACTGAGCCAGCCCTTTTTTCCATGGGAATGGCTGATGTGGGTCCAAGGGCATGGGGCTGGCAGGAAAGCACCTGCACTTATGCACTGGGGGGGGGCAGGACCTCCCATATGGCCTCAAGGTGGGGAACAGCTCCTGGGGAGCAATGGGGTGGCAGCAGGTCCTGGGGGTAAGGGGATGCTCACAGAGGACAGCAGACCCTTTGGGGTGGGTTTGGAATGGGCTGGTTACGGCTTCCCGGGATGGGAGATTTGGGGAGGGGCAGCAGCTTCCCCTGGGAGCAGCAGAACCCTGGGAAGAGTCCAGATCCCAGTGGGGCAGATCCTTTAGGAGGTGGCAGGCCTCCCCCAGAGGCTGGGGGGACAGTACATCTTAATCGGGGTGGCATCCTCCGGAGCGCTGGGGGGCAGATCTCCCTGAAGGCAGCAGATGCCGGGGAGAGGAAGCAGATGCCCGGTGGGGGCAAATCCCAGGGGTGAGAACTCGCCAGGAAGACGAGTGACTGGGAAGCAGGTCCAGGGGGTGAGACACCCCCAGGAACGCGGGTGCCTAGGGACCAGGTCCAGAGGGTGATGGTGCGGGTCAGCCCGCAGCCCCCGCGGCGAGCGGAGCCCCAGCTCGGGCGCGGGGAGGCGGAGCGGGCGGGCGGGGCGCGGCAGCCGCCCGCCCCCGCCGGGGCTGGGACCGGGGCCGGGGCCGCTCGGGGCGTTTAGGGATGGATGCTGCGCCCGGGAGTGCCCCGCCGTCCTCCGCCGCGGCGTTGCGGCTGGCGCTGGCGGCTCCGGGGCTGCCCGAGGGTCCCCTCGGCTGCCCCATCTGCCTGGACGTGCTGCGGGACCCGGTGACGGTGCCGTGCGGGCACAACTTCTGCCAGGGCTGCCTGCGGGCGCTCCGCCAGCAGCCGGGCCCCCCCGACGGCGGCGGGGCGGGCGGGGCCGCCCGCTGCCCGCTCTGCCAGGAGCCCGTCCCCGCGTCCCTGCGGCTCCGCAAGAACCGCGCCCTCTGCGAGCTCCTGCCGCTGCTGGCGGCCGCCACCGGCGGCTCGTCCCCGCCGTCGCCGATGGCCCCGGGAGCCGAGGAGGAGGATGGCGGAGGGGAGGCGGGAGCGGCGGTGCTGTGCGACGTGTGCCCGCCGGGGTCGCGGGCGGCGGCGGCGCGGTCGTGCCTGGTGTGCCTGGCGTCGTTCTGCGGGGCGCACCTGGAGCCGCACCGCCGCGCCCCCGCCTTCCGCGCCCACCGCCTCGTGGCCCCGCTGCGCCGGCTGGAGGAGGGACTGTGCCCCCGCCACCTGCAGCCCCTCGACGGCTTCTGCCGCGCCGAGCAGACCTGCGTGTGCGCCCGCTGCCGCGCCCACGAGCATCGCGCCCACGACGTGGTGCCCCTCGAGCAGGAGCGGGAGCACAAGGAGGTGCGTGCGGGTGGGTGTGGGGGGATGGTGGTGCGCGGAGGTCTCCGGCGTGGGTGGGACCCTGGTGTGGGGGTGTCCTCGGTGGGGTGAGGTGCAGCGTCCCTTGGAGGGTTTCATGCCGCACCCGTGTCCCCAACGGGGAGCCTAAATCCCCACCTGGGGTGTGTGCAGGTGCCGCGCTGGTGGGATGGCGTGTGTGGGGTGGTGCTGTAGCCCACACCGCTCGGGGGACCCCACCCCGTATGGACAGGGTGCTGTGCCGTCGGGGAGCCCCGTGAGGTGGGGACAGGATGGGCAGCTGGAGACCCGCTGCCAGCCGGCCCCTGGGGATTTTTCCCACTGTGGAAATCCCGTGGGTGTAGAGCTGGGGTGGGGGTGCCTGGGACACCCTGCAGTGGCCGCCCCCGCGGTCACAGGGCACCCGCCTCCCCCGTCTTGTTCCCACAGCTCCGTCGAGGCGGTTTTTCCCGACTCCTGGCAGCCTGCCCGGCCGCCGCTCCCGCTCCCCCAGCCCTTTGTATCCCGGCGTTTTGGCAGCGGGTTTTTTTTCCATCACTCCCATTCCCAAATGTGACTGAGTCACCTCCTAAATTCACACCCACGAGCCTCCCCGGGAGCCGGGGCTCCAAGCCCAACGTGGTGCTGCCTTCCTGGACGCTGGTGCCTCAAATGTGTGGGGCCTCTGTGGGGCTACAGGCAGATGAGAGTCTGTGAGGCTTGCGGTGTGGTGACACCCTGCATCAGGATGAGGCATTTGGAGACCTTGGGAGGGTTTTCTTTTTCCAAGGAAGAGCCCAGGGGCTGTGGACATGCTGGCAGGGAGCACAGAAACAGCCCCAAGCCAGCTCCCACTCTCTCGCGGGTTCTTGGGATTGCAGGAAAACCCTTCTGTCGGCATTATTAGTCATCAGGTGTCTTAAAATAGAAAGTGAGTGTGATCCCAGACCGGGGGAGCTGTCAGACCTCAGCAGACACTGCTTAACGTGGCCTAGATGGCCTCTGCCACTGCCCTCTGCCACTGCCCTCGTGCTGCAGGCTGGGAAGGGTGGACGGGGAAAGCACCTGTATCCCCTCACTGGGGACAAGCACTGCAGAGAGCAGGGCCAGGAGGACGAGCACTAGCGGGGATCTGCCCCGGTTGGGAAGTGCAGTGCCCTCCTGGCTCCCCAGGGAGCTCATGATGGGCAATGGCTGGCGCCAACAATAGCAGCCAGGAAACGACGTGTTCGGAAGGTGCTTCCTTTGCAGCCGTGCAGCACCTCTGTGCTCCAGAGCTGGTTTGCTTTGCTCCTAAGAGAAACCCCCAGGGGACTCTGTGCTGTGTTTCTGAGTGGTCCAGTTCTGCCTTTCAGCTTCTCCACCAGTCCCAGGTGGATTTTCCCCAGCCTTGGAATACACACTGAGAGCACACGCTTAGCTGGGCTTGCTGCAAGTGCTGCCCGATGGGTTTGCTTTCAAATTCCTGTTTGTTTGGTTTCCGCTGGGACCAGGGTGGGGAGCATGGAACTGGACATGACCCTTTGTAGCCTGGCTGCTCCTTTAGTTTCCCAGCCCAGGGAGAAGGGATGTTTGCAGGTTGGATGTTGCAGGGAAGGAAAACAGGAAAACAACTCAGGGTTCCCCCTGCGTCCTTCACCCGAAGCGTGACAGCAATGTCGTGGTCAGAGAGGGTTGAACTTAGGGAGAGGCTGGGTGTCCTGCAGCTCCCTGTGGGATCGGGGGCAAAGCTCAGTGTTTGTCCCTTGTGTCCACAGGCCCAACAAGCCAAATTCCTCAGCGATGTGGAGAACGAGCTGGAGGAGCTGGCAGTCACCATCGCACAGGCCAAGAAGATGGTGGAGCTCATTAAGGTGACTCTGCCATGGCTTTGCTCTGTCAGTGCAGCTCTGCTGGGCCGGGGAGCGGAGGGGAAGGGGCTGTGAGCTTTTGGGGTGTGTGGGGTGTAGAGTTGGTGCTCACAGGGCAATGTGCTCCATAAAACCACAGTGACCCTGGCAAGGATCCCTAAGGATTCTTGCTCCTCGTCTCTGCTAACCCTCACGGCATCTCTGGTTGTTTTCGTTTGCAACCTGGAAGAAGGAACAGGGCAAGGACTATGCCAGGGCATCCTCTGGCTCTTGCACCTTTTCTCCTCGGGCTCACAGGGGTTTGGTCCCCTTTGGCCCTTGTGCCACCACGTCACTTCACTGCCTGGGGACACCAGGCATGGTGCAGCAGTTAAGTGGCTGTGCCCAGCCAGATCCCTTGATAGCTGAGCTGTGAAATGATCTGAGCTCTTGGATGAAGGGGGTGATGGGGTGTCAGGGGGACCCCAGAGAGCTGAGAGGTGGGTGCTGGGCAGGGGAGAAGGGTGCCCTTCTGCACCTTCACCTGTGGGACCTGACCTCTCTCTCACTGCACTCAGGGTGCTGCCACGAAGGAGAAGGAAAGGGTCGAGAGGCTCTTTGCAGAAGCCTCTGAGGTCCTGGCAACCTTCCAGAAGGAGGTGACAGGTTTCATCGAGGCCGGGGAGCGCTCCATGCTGGGGGAGGCTGAGGCTGATCTCCGCTGGAAGGAGGAGAGACGAGCCAAGCTGGCCCAGGGCAAGCAAAACCTGGAGAACGTCACCAGCACTGACACCATCTACTTCCTCCAGGTGGGATGGGGCAAGAAGGAGCCAGTAGTATTGTCTTTTGGGGTTTTGTCCCATTTCCTGAGGAGCTGGGGGCAAGGAGCCCTGGGATGTGTGGGCTGTAGAGTCTCACTGTTGTTGGCACAGTCCTCTCCCCTCCCCACTCCCAGGAGGACTAAGCAGCCAAGACTTTCTCTTCCATCCTGTCTGTGACTCAGGGGAAGCTGATGTGCTGCCCAGGCTGGGTACCTGGGCGTGAGGGGCAGAGAACAAGAGATTGGGGTGCCCCACTGCCCCCTCTAGCCTTTCCCCCTCTCTGACAGCCCAGCAAGAGGAGACCTTTTCGGGAGGAGATGCTGCTCCCTGTGAGGTGGGCATAGTCTGGGTCCAGGTTTGAAAGGGAGCTAAGAGCAGGTTCCAGGAACATGTGGCTGGGAAAGAGCTCTCCTCCCTTGTGAAGGCTTTCCTTGGGCCAAGTCCTGAGAGCTGCCAGTTCCCAAATCCTCCAGGGCTGGGTGGGGTTGCGGAACAAGAGACAACTTTGGCTTGTTTGAAAACTCCTGAAACTCCGTCTTTTTTGGCTCAGGAATTTCAGGCCTTAAAAGTAGCCATGGAAGAAAAGCTCTCCCCAGCTCCGAGCTTCCAGAACGAGCTGAACTTCACCAAGTGCACCCAAGTCGTGGGCGCCGTGAAGGATGTGCTGTCCACTGCCTGCAAAAACCAGTGGAACCACTTGCAGGGGAAAGGAATTGACGGGCTGAACTACCAGGAGATGGAGGAAGGTTTGTGCTCACCCAGTGCCTCTGCCTGGAGGTTTCCCCATCACCCTCCCCCTCCTCCCTGCATAGCTGGGAGATGTCTGTGGGCTCGATGTCCCCCACAAGCACTGGCCCCTCTCCCTCCAGCCCTGGAAGCTGCTCAGCACGGGTTCCCTGCACGTTGCACAATCCCTGTCTGGGCTTACGCCTCTTTGAGGTTTTGTGAATTTTTCCACAGAGACCGGAGGCTGGAGAGGCAACAAACAGCCTGGGAGTTAGGCAGGGCCCTGCGGGAGAGGGCAAGTGGC